AGAGAACGGATTTTCTTAATAGAATATAATGGTGGGTGGGAAAGTGCCGTTTTGAAACTTGATGAGTGGGACAGTGTCATTTCCCCAAACGTTGGGTGGGAACATGTCGTTCTCCCTTTTTGGATAATGTTCAAGAGCCACGATTACTCAATTGGATTGAACAATTTCCTTCAAATAAATTTTGAACCATATTTAGAGTGTTTATAAGAGAATGTGACAAGAGTAGGTTAATGTGGCCGGATATATTTTAGTTCCATCTTCTTCGTATAATCTCAATTGAAAGTGAATAAATTTAGTCCATATATTTACAACATAAATTATTAATATTATATTATTTTAAACACTCTATAGTTACTTTTATATATATTATGACTAATAATATCTTACATTTAAATAATTCATAAAAAACTGATATATTTTCTAATAAATTAATAGCATCACTCTCGAAAAGATACCTAAGACAGTTCCTCAATTATAAAAGACACTCTTAAAAACCTATAAAGCATAGGGTTGAGCACGAGTAACGGGTAGAACCGTAACCGGAACCTACTCGAAACCGGCACTGTGTGGGTAGGTTCCGGTTCCATTTTATTGGAACTGACATTGTGCAGTTCCGATTCTGGTTGTTATGTGTGGAGGAACCGAAATCAGAATCAGGACCTGGAAAAAGAACTTGAAACGAGTACCCTATTTGGAACCTGCTTGGAACCTATAGCGGGTATCCGGTTTAAAACCTGTTTGGAACCTGAGCTACAATGAAATATTTGTGAATAATGGGGGGTTTCATTATTTTACATATAAAAAAATTTAACATAAAAAAAGTTAAATTTTTAGAACAACCTAATTAAATAAATATACAATTATACTTATTACATATAAACTACATCATATTAAAAACTTTAATATATTACAATATATTAATATTAAAGTTTTGATTAATTAAGTATATAATTGGAATTAGGATCCAATTAAAAGTGTTTTAATGTTATTAAAAGAATTATTTTTGAATAAAATAGTATATTTGATTGAATAATAATATATTTAGTTATTTACTTCAATTATCAAGTTCTAAGTATATCTATAGTAAATTAGCAATTAATTAATTATATATGATAAATTTATAAACATTAATAAATTTAATTACTAGTTAAATATCATACTTAATCAATTATAACATTACATTATTGTTAAATGATTGCTTAATTAATTATAATTTTATAACATTACTTAATTGATTTATAGTATAATTAATTATAGCATTAGATTAATTGATTACTACTTAATTAATTGACTTATAACATTTAGTATATTACTTAATTAAATAATTAGATATTTAATTAATTATAGCATTACGTTATAGATTTATAGTATAATTACCTAATCAATTATAATTTTTCATTATAAACATTAGTACAATACTTAATTAAATGATTAAAAATTTAATTAATTATAATATTATATTAAAAATTTATAATATGATTATTTAATTACTTTAACATTACATTATAGTATGATCACATAATTAATTATAACATTATATAATTAAATGATTACTTAATTGATTATGATATTATATTACAAATATTAGTAATTGCTAATTTACTACATAAACATTAGCACAATACTTAGTTAAATGATTAGAAATTTAATTAATTATAACATTACATTATAAATTTATAGTACGATTACTTAATTAATTGTAACATTATATTATAATTAAATGATTACTTAATTAATTATAACATTCTATTATAAACAAATTAATTATAATATTATATTAAAGATTTATGGTATGATTATTTAATTCATTATAACATTTCATTATAATATGATATTATATTATAAATATTAATTATAACATTACATTATAAACAAATGATTATTTAATTAAATGATTAGAAATTTAATTAATTAAGCATTACATTATAGTTAAATAAACACTTAATTAAATTATAACATTATTACATTACATTATATTATGATCATTTAATTAATTATAGCATTACATAGTTAAATAATTACTTAATTAAGTATAAATTTATAACATTACATTATAAACATTAGCAATTTATTACATTATAACATTACTTAATTAAATTATTAAAACTTTAATTAATTATAACATTACATTATAGATTTATAGTATGACTACTTAATCAATTATAACATTCGATTATAGACAGTATATTAATTAAATGATTAGAAATTTAATTAATTATAATATTAAATTATAGATTTATAGTATGATTATTTAATTCATTATAACATTACATTATAGTATGATCACATAATTAATTATAACATTACATAATTAAATGAATACTTAATTGATTATAACATTATATTATAAAAATTAATAATTTATTATATAAACATTAACACAATACTTAATTAAATGATTAGAAATTTAATCAATTATAACATATTAACATTACATTATAAATTTATAATACGATTATTTAATTACTTAATTAATTGTAACATTACATTATAAACAAATGATTACTTAATTAAATTATTATGTAATTAATTATAACATCATTACATTACATTATATTATGATCACTTAATTAATTATAGCATTACATAGTTAAATGATTACTTAATTAATTATAAATTTATAACATTACATTATAAACATTAGCAATTTACTACATTATTACATTACTTAATTAAATGATTAAAAATTTAATTAATTATAACATTACATTATAGATTTATAGTATGATTACTTAATCAATTATAACATTCCATTATAAACATTAGTATTTAGTACATTAATTAAATGATTAGAAATTTAATTAATTACAATATTAAATTATAGATGTATAGTATGATTACTTAATTCATTAGAATTTTACATTATAGTATGATCACATAATTAATTATAACATTACATAATTAAATGATTACTTAATTGATTATGACATTATATTATAAACATTTGTAATTTACACAATACTTAATTAAATGATTAGAATTTTAATTAATTATAACATTACATTATAAANGAAACGGAGCTTGAAATCGTGGGGCATACCTCCGCAGTTAGGGCTAAGAGAAACTCTACTTCTACGATCTCTCAGGAGGACTTAGATCGCATTAGGGATGAACATGCGATTGTCTGCCCCCTTTGCCTCATAGGAGGTTGATCATCTAACACCCCGCATTCTGGTTGGGTGGCGACCTCCAAGGTGCTCCTTTAATGTGAAGCATCAGTGCCACCTCCTCCCTTCAACGTTAAAGTCTTAGAACGCTTCAACATCGCTCTTTTTCAGCTCACAGCGAACTCATATTTGTACATGGTTGACATGTACATTACCTACATGAAGGGTGGCTTGGGCGAGTCATCGGTGGACGAGCTCGTTTACTTGTATAGCTTGAAGACATCCTAGGGAGGAGACATTTACTATCTCTCCAAGGCAAAAAGGGGCGATGTCAAAGGGCTGGAGGGAATGCCAAACAAATCTACGGGTTGGGATTCCAATTTCTTCTTCTACGAGAGTGTGGAAAACAGGCCCTTTAGGGATGCCAATAGGTGTTTGCTTGACTTTGCTTTAGGTAAATGTTAGGGCCAAAAATCATCTTCGGAACAAATAGGAAAACAGGACCACCGGCGAAGAAAAGGCCAGGCCCAGTCCTAGAGGGGCCCAAGCCAGATTAATCCCATTTGATACGAGATAAGGCCGGCCCAAAGCATCCGGGCACGGGCCTCCCAGTTCTAGCTCACTTCATGGGCCTATAGGCGAGTTCAGAGCCCACAGCCCCCACTGATCATTTTCCTGTTCTTGTGCAATCTCCTATTTGAAGTCACTCTCCTGTTCTTGGTCACTTTCCTACTTGAAGTGACTTCCCTGTTCAGATCACTTTCCTATTCGGACGCAGGTAAGACAGCTCACCACCGCCCTAACTTCTATAGGGTTTGCATTAGAGTTACACTCGGACTCCTACTCCTACCAGGATTGGGAGACCAAACAATCACTATATAAACAGAGGCCAGCCCTCTCACAAAGGACATGACATTACACCTTCACACCTGAAGTTCTTACTTGAGAGCTTCATATCACTACTGTAGTCACAGTCTCGGACTAGACTTCCGATAACCCCTCTACTCCCTAGCCCTCACCATATTAGCCTCTTTCAGCCTTGCTAACTTGAGCGTCGGAGTGCCTACAGCAAACACCCCCCGGTGTTTTCCGTCGCTTCACGCGTGTTTCTTTACGTGTGCAGGTACAACAGATTGCTAGTGGCCTCAACCTCACATGATCAATCCCTCCTTCCGTACCAGTAGATTTTTACGTTTACAGTTTGGCGCCCACCGTGGGGCCTTTAGCAATCATCCGGCTCAACGAACCTTGCTACGTAGGGGAACTTTCCATGGCTGACAATTCTGACAATGCAAACCCCGGTCTCGAGGCTAAACTGGAGGCTTTGACCGCCCTCATGCAACAAAACTCAGACAAGGTAGCCACACTGGAAGCTGAGAACACTGCCATCCGGACCGAAAACGCCTCCATCAGGGTTGAGAACCAGTCTTTGAAAGAAAAGGTAAGCCAGTTTTACGACCTCGACCTTCTGCCTTCTCAGGTACCACCAAATCAGTTCCGCGTCTCGGTTTCATCTATGCAACCTCTCCAAACCCTAGAGCACAGGCCTGGAGCTTCAGATAAAAGGTCACATCAACTGAATTCATAAGTGGGAGACGACTCGGTCCTGACTCAGGGAGGAAGAGATCTGCCAACAGAACCCCGCTCAACCGATCCATCACAACCTCGAGACCAAGACGCCCAAGCGGTAGAAAACCCGTTCCAGCAAGACCCGCCCATCCTTGCCATTCCACCTAACCTTCAGTCCATCCCTACACAAACACCATTCAGCTCGGCTCACCCTTGTGGGTTGAACGGCAGTCCAAGAAGAGCAGGCCTCACTGCTATGCTGACTAACCCTTTACGGATGCAATCGCCCTAGCCGACATGCCCCACAAATTTACTATTCCCAGAATGAAGCCCTATGATGACACAACCGACCCGGACGATCACATAGCCTCGTATAAACAACGGATGTTCACTATCTCCATACCCCGCGCGCTGAGGGAAGCCTGCATATGTAAGAGTTTTGGTTCAAGCTTAGCCGGCCCATCACTTCAGTGGTACACAAATCTCCCAAACGGTTCCATTGACTTATTTGCACAACTCACTGACACCTTCGTGGAGCAGTTCGCTAGCAGTAAAAAGCTCAAGAAATTGTCGGCTGATCTATACAGAGTATACCAGAAAAGGGGAGAACCACTGAGAGAGTACGTCAGTAGATTCAACAAGGAGAAAATTTCCATTCCTGCTTGCAACCCCGAGACAGCTGTAGATGCATTCAGGAAAGGCCTCCTCCCAGATGGGGAATTATACAAAGAATTGACGAAGCTTGGTTGCACAACGATGGAAGACGCCCTGGCCAGAGCAGTGATACAAATAAGGTGGGAAGAAGATGAGATGAATCAAGTAATCCACGCCAGGTATGACCCGAGGCAGACTGATAGGAGGCCAGATGCCAGACCGACCGAAACCCACTACCAACCCCCAGCGCATCATTTGAACAAAGTCAGGAAACCATATGACCGCCAGCCACAATACGACCATCAGCCACCCAGAACAGATAACAGACAGATTGTACCAAGCCGATACAAGATACCAGACTACAACCTGAATGTCAAACCAGCCCAAGTGGTGGCGATCATGAAAGGAATGGGATCCAGTGTTAGGTGGTACAGTCAATCCGCCCAGTTTCTCGGTCACACTCCCATCAGGTAATTCAGTTCGAAGACGACGAGCCGATCACCCAGGCCGCTCCTCATCATGATGCTCTAGTTGTCTCTCTCCAGATCGCCAATATTCTTATGAAGAGGGTGTTCGTAGACGGAGGGTCATCAGCGAACATTCTGTTCCTTGCAGCAGTAAAAGTTATGGGTTTGGAAGAAGAAAACATCAACAGAAGGCCGACCCTACTAGTTGGTTTTAGCTCTAAGCAAAAGTACACCATCGGAGAGATCGTCCTTCCTACCTATGCTAGTGGAGTAAACAGGCAGACAATCTTCCTGGTGATAGATGCCCCTTCACCCTATAATGTCATCTTGGGCTGACCCTAGATCCATGACATGCGAGCAATCTCATCCACTTTCCACCAAACAATCAGGTTTCCTACCTAATTGGGAGTACGAGAAATCAAGGGCGACCCGAAAGCTTCCAGAGATTATTACAAGAACGCCTTCAAGGGCAAGGGTAGCGCTTCATAGCAACTATAGTCTCATCCAACCCTTCCGACCAAACCAGATCAACCATCAATGGAAGAGTTGGATGAAGTACAAATACACCCGGATGATCCTGAGAGAAAGACACAGATAGGTTCCCGCCTAGGGCCCGAAACAAGAGAAAATCTGATAGAATTCCTCAGACAAAACGAAGACTGTTTCGCCTAGTCCCACGCCGACATGACGGGAATAAGTCTAGAGGCCATGCTCCACCATCTCAAAGTAGATCCAGATCACCAGCCAATGAAGCAGAGGAGAAGGAAATTCGTACCAGAGCACAACCGGATCGTTAATGAGGAGGTTGAAAAGCTGTTGAGTGACGGTATGATCAGAGAAGTCCACTAGCCCGAATGGGTAGCAAATGTCGTGGTGGTAAAGAAAAAGAACGGAAGTGGAGAGTCTACATCGATTTCACGGACTTAAACAAAGCATGCCCTAAAGATTCCTACCCGCTCCCGTATATCAATAGGATGGTTGATGCAACTGCAGGCCACAAGCTTCTTAGTTTCATGGACGCCTTCTCGGGTTACAACCAAATCTTGATGCACCCAGACGATCAAGAAAAGACAGCCTTCATCACAGAGAGGGGAACCTACTGCTACAAAGTGATGCCATTCGGTCTGAAGAACGTCGGGGCTACCTATCAACGACTAGTTAACAAGATGTTTGCCGAACACCTTGGGATACTATAGAGGTTTACATTGACGACATGCTGGTTAAGTTCCTGATAGCCGACCAGCATCTCGACCACCTTAGCCAGGCGTTCGCTGTCTTAAGGAAATATAACATGAAGTTGAATCCAGCCAAGTGTTCATTTGGCGTTTTATCGGGTAAATTCTTGGGCTACATGGTAACTTAACGTGGGATAGAAGCCAACCCCGACCAGATCAGAGCGATCCTCAGTATACCATCTCTAGCCTACATAAAAGACGTCCAGCACCTAGCAGGACGGGTAGCCGCTTGAGCCGATTCATCTCCAGATCCGCCGATAAGTGCCACCCTTTCTTCCATGCACTCAAGAAGTCCGACAAGTTCGAGTGGACCCCCTCCTGCGAAGAAGCCTTGCAACAGCTGAAAAGGTACCTAACCTCCCCTCCGCTCCTTTCCAAACCAGTGGATGGGGAGAAACTTTACACCTATTTGGCAGTCTCAGAGATAGGAATCTCAACCGTGTTAGTTCGGGAAGAAGACGCGAAACAGCTATCGGTCTACTATGTCAGCAAGTCACTCGTCGACGCAAAAACAAGGTACAGTCAACTGGAGAAATTGGCCCTCGCGCTCATTCATGCCTCCAGAAAACTTAGGCCGTACTTCCAATGCCACCCCATAGTCGTCCTCACCTCCTTCCCACTCAAGAAGATACTATACAAACCGGAGCTATCAGGTCGACTCATACAGTGGACAGTAGAGCTTAATGAGTTCGACATATCATGCCAGCCTCGCATCGCCGTCAAGTCCAAAGCATTGGCAGACTTCATTGCTGATTTCACCTCGAGCACCACCATGCGAGCAGAGGAAGAGATATTATGCATGGGCGGTGGGTCACCGTCCAAGTGGACTCTTTCAGTGGATGGATCAAGTAACGTGAATGGAACTGGACTCGGTTTAGTACTGACTACACCAGAGGGAGACGTTATCCAGTGGGCAATATGGTGCGGGTTCAAGTGCACAAACAACAAAGCCGAATATGAGGCTCTCATCGCTGGACTATCCCTAGCCAAAGAGATCGGGGCGAAGAGATTGGAAGTGAAGTTTGACTCCTAGCTTGTCGTCAACCAGCTGCAAGGTACTTACCAGGCGCGCGACTTGAAGATGACGACGTACTTGAACCTGGTCAAAGAACTGCAGTCCCAATTTGAAGAGTTCTCCATCGCCCAGATCTCAAGAGCGGAGAACTCTCACGCTGACGCCCTTGCCAACCTCGGCTCAGCACTCCAATGTCCTTCCTAGTCATCCATCCCCCTCTTGTTCCTATAGTGGCCAGCCAACTAGAAGGAGCAACCACCAAACAAGTCGATGGAAGAAACAATGGATATTGAGCTAGCCGACTGAGAGCAAGAGCTGCAAGATTCACCATCTATGAAGGCCAACTCCTCCGGAAATCATTCTCCGGTCCCTATCTCAAGTGCACAAGTCCAGAGGAAGCCAAACGTGTTTTCGCCGAACTCCATGAAGGCGAATGTGGAAACCATGTTGGGGGACGCAGCCTTGCACACCGGGTGATCAACGTTGGGTACTACCGGCCAACCATACGTATTGATTCAGTTGCTTATGTTAGGAAATGCGACAGTTGTTAGAGATTTGCTCATGTCTCGCACCTCCCACCCGAGCGACTCCACTCTATCATCACACCTTGGCCCTTCATGAAGTGGGGAATGGATATAGTCGGGAAACTACCGACTGCACTCGGACAACGAGTTTTCATGTTGGCTGTGACAGATTACTTCACAAAGTGGATCGAAGCCGAAGCTTTCGCACAAGTCAGAGATAGAGAGGTAAAAGCTTTTATATGGAAACATGTCATCTGCAGGTTTGGGATACCAAAGGAAATCGTCACCGACAATGGATCCCAGTTTATCAGCTCAGGCTTCAGGGATTTCTGCGACATGTGGGGGATCAAGCTTAGCTTCTCCACCCCCCGCAACCCCCAGTCCAACAGCCAAGCCGAGTCATCGAATAAAACCATTATGCAGACCTTGAAAAAGCGATTGTAGAAAGCGAAGGGTGCATGGGCAGAAGAACTACAAGGAGTCCTTTGGTCCTACCGAACAACAGCTCACTCATCAACAGGTGAAACCTCTTTCTCCCTCACATACGGTTCTGAAGCGGTCATCCTGACTGAAGTATCAGTGCCGTCCACTAGGCTCCAATGGGCGGACGAAGAAATCAATAGCCAGAACCTCTTCCAGAACTTGGACACCGTCGATGAACTCCGCGAGTGGGCCAGCATCCGCAATGCTATCTACCAGCAGTAGGCCGCCCAGCATTACAACCGCAGCGTCAGGATCAGAGCTTTCAAGACTGGCGATTGGGTCCTCCACAAGGTCTTTCAAAACACTAAAGAGATCAATTCTGGCAAACTCGGGCCCACTTGGGAGGGTCCCTACAAGATAATCAAAGAAGCGGGGAAGGGTGCTTACCGACTCCAGACCTCGGAAGGCAAAGACATCAACAACAGTTGGAATGTAGTCCACCTCAAACGTTACTACTTTTAGGTGAACTCACTCGTTTAAAAGTTTGTTTCTTTTCGTTTCTATTTTTAAAGGGATGAGTGGGCCTATCCACCTCCTCCCAGACAGTCGGCCTTACGGCTCGAACTTAATAAAGTATTATTCAAAGATTCACACCTTCGGATCGACCCTGCTCAATCCACGAAATTACACCTTCGAATTGACCCTCCTTGATCCACGGAATTACACCTTCGGATCAACCCTGCTTGATCCACGAAATTACACCTTTGGATTGACCCTGCTCAATCCATGAAATTACACCTTTGGATCAACCCTGCTCGATCTATGGAATTACTCATTCGGATCGACCCTGCTCAATCCATGGAATTACACCTTCGGATCGACCCTGCTCGATCCACAGAATTACACCTTCGGATTAACCTTACTTGATCCACGAAATTACACCTTCGGATCGACCTTGCTCGATCTGAGCTTGATCCATGAAATTAGACCTTCGGATCGACCCTGCTTGATCCACGGAATTACACCTTCGGATCGACCCTGCTCGATCCACGAAATTACACCTTCGGATTGACCCTGCTCGATCCACGGAATTACACCTTCAGATCGACCCTACTCAATCCACGAAATTACACCTTCAGATCGACTCTACTCGATCCATAAAATCGCACCTTCGGATCGTCCCTTCTCGATCCAAGTTATCACACCTTTGGATTGATCCTGCTCAATCCACGGAATCACCCCTTTGGATCGACCCTGCTCGATCCACGTTATCATACCTTTGGATCGGCCCCGCCTGATCCACGGATTTACACCTTCAAATTGCTCCTGCTCGACCCATGAAGTCACACCTTCGGATCGGCCTGTCTAATCCATGTATGTACATCGTCGACCGGCTCTGACCGGTTCATAAAGCTACGCAACCAGACAGTCAGACCGAATGAAGAAATCTTAGTAGGACACTAAAAATCGATAAATCATTGACCCAACATAGCAGAGAGTACGCAATACAACCATTGGGCCCCACCAAAGTCACAACACAACATAAGAGTACTACCCCCAGTACATCTATGAGCAAAGAAGCAATTGGCAACGCATTCACCCATCAAGAAGTCATTAAAAACAGAACAGCGGTTTGGAATTTAACATATAAACAGCCTCAATAGGCTTAGTTCAGAAATACAAATAAAAGGCATACATGCCAAGAGAAGGCATCACAGGCCCCAAAATACATAAGTGAACAGAAATAAAGCTAAGTGTCGTCGATGCGGGTCATCTCTCCCATCTTTGACTCGGTCACCCCGTCACCAGC